CAGTGGATTCTTCTTGAAAGAAGGAATGTGTGTTTTCTCAAGTCTCCCTGTTTAATCATGCCTAATTATAACAAGTTTAAGACACAGGAAGCTTTGGATAACCAAATTAACATGTTTAGCATAGCACATCTGAGGAAGAAAACTCAGTGGGCCCGCATGACTCTTCTCCCAACTCCTTCATCAGGGTATACAGTGCACATACAATTTCTAAATCCTTACCCTCAAACCAGAGCACAGCAAAACACTTTAACTGTCTCTCATAGGATTCTAATGTCCATGTATATGTCAACCCTCCTCCTTTCAAGGCTGCTTTCAAAATCTGTGTGTGTGTGTGTGTGTGTGTGTGTGTGTGTGTGTATGTGTGTGTGTGTGTGTGTGTATGTGTGTGGTGTTCTACTTTACACTCTTGATTATACCTCATCCCTGTTTTCTTATTCCTAATTTTCTCTTTAATTATCATCAACATCCCACACACTAGATTTCATATTACAAGTCATTTGGTTTTTTTCTCTTAAAATAACATGTAAGTCTGTTCAGGGATTCAAAGGAAACTGAAATCCTTCACAAAGTAGAAAATTAATAAAATAGTAGTCATGATATATAAAAAATATGACAATATTTATGGCAGTTAGTTTAAGAACACTGGAATTGGCTTCTCAATTACTTTCGGGCTTATCATGAAGTCTAAAAAAGAGAAGAAAAAAAATAGAAAACCTGCTGTCCACCCAACTAAGGAGGAGCTCCACAGGCCCCCCTCTCCAAAACTTCAGCACCATTAAAGTAATCTCCATAAAATGCACTCAATGAAAAATAGTAAGAATTACACAATTATAAAATAATAAAGAGATATTGTATGCAAATTTTGCAAGCTCTTTTCCCATATATTTTAGGACTAAACTCAGCCTCGGTCTAAACCCCATTGATTTTCTCCTCCCTTGAGACAAAGTACAACGGCACAGCATGAATCCAGCATGGTGCAGGATGTCATACACAGAAATCATTGCTTGTTATTATTTGTTCAAATGTATGGGGCACGTGCAATTTTGTGACATAGATTGGGCATAGATTGCATAGATTGGGCAGTGGTCAAGTCAGGATTTTAGGGTAGCCATTACCTGAATAATGTACATTGTACCCATTAACCAATTTCTCATCACCCACCCCCTTTCCACCTTCTCACCCTTTGAGTCTTCATTGTCCATCATTCCACTCTCTCTACAACCATGTGTACACATTTTTTAGCACCTACTTATGAGAGAGAACATGTTGGATATTTGACTTTCTATGCCTGGCTTCATTTAAGATAATGGCCTCCAATTCCATCCATGTTGCTCTAAATGACAGGATTTCATTCTTTTTTATGGCTGTATGGGATTTCGTTGTGTATATATTGTATGTTCTTTACCCATTCCCCCATTGATGGGCACTTAGGTTGATTCCATATCGTTGCTACCGTGAATAGCACTGTGATAAATGTACAAGTGTAAGAAACTTTTTATTATATTGATTTTGTTTCCTTTGGGTACATACCCAGAGTGGGATTGCTGGATAAAGTGGTAATTCTGTGTTTAGTTCTTCAAGAAATCCACATACTGTTTTTCATAGAGGCTGTGCTAATTTACCTTCCCACCGATGGTGTCCAAGAGTTCCCTTTTCTCCACATCCTCACCAACATCTATTAATTTTTTCATCTTTTTAACACTAGCTATTCTGACTGGGATGATATTTCATTGTGTTTTTAATTTGAATTTCTCTGGTGATGTTGAGCATTTTTCATATGTCTGTTGGCCATTTCCATGTGTTCTTTCGAAAAATGTCTATTCATGTTCTTTGCCCACCTTTCGATGGAATTTTTTTTTTTTTTGGTTGGTTGGTTGAGTTCCTTTTATATTCTGGATATTAGCCCTCTGTCAGATGAACAGTTTGCAAACATTTCTTCCATTCTACAGGTTGTTTGTTCACTCTGTTGGTTATTTCTTTTGTTATGTGGAAGCTTTTTAGTTTAATTAAGTCCCATTTGTCTATTTTTGTTTCCCATGTTTTTGAGATCTTAGTCATGAATTCTTTGCCTAGGCCAAAGTCCAGAACAGTTTTCTCTAGGTTTTCTTCTAGTATTTTTACAGCTTAGAGTTTTACATTTAAGTCTTTAATCCATGTCGAGTTGGTTTTTGTATATGGTAAGGGAATTTCATTCTTTTGCATATAGCAATCCAATTTTCCCAAAACAACTGATTGGAAAGAATGTCCTTTCCCCAGTGTATGTTCTTGTTGGCTTTGTTAAAGATCAGTTGGCTGTAAATTTGTGGCTTTATTTCTGGGTTATCTACTCTGCTCCACTGAAATGTTTTTGTACCAGTACCATGCTGTTTAAGTTACTATAACCTTGTAGTATAATTTGAAGTCAGGTAATGTGATGTTTCCAGTTTTGTTTTTTTTGCTTAGGATTGCTTCGGCTATTCAGGCTCTTTTTTAGTTTCGTGTGAATTTTAGGATTCTTTTTTCTAATGCTGTGAAAAATAATGTTGGTATTTTGATAGAGATTGTAATGAATCTGTATATTGCTTTAGGTAGCATGGTCATTTTAACAATATTCTTCTAATCCATGAGCAAATGAAGTATTTTTCCATTTGTTTGAATCATCTGCAATTTCTCTCATCAGTATTTTGTAGTTTTCCTTGCTTTATCAATGGCCTGTGGGCATATGCAAAAACTTTTTAGGTCAGTCAGTATCACACACACTACACATGGCATACAAAAACTGCCAATCAAGCTTCTTTAAATAAAAAAATAAAAACAAGTCAAAACCAAACATGGTCAAGGAAAATAAATGTGTTGTTACAATTAGGTAATACTTACTTTAATAATTCCATTTGGAAATTTTCCATAAACCAAAAGTAGGCTAAATCCCAAGGTAACAGACACATTTCTCCCAAATTTATGATGCACAGGTGTAGCTGCAGCCTGAGGGAGATGGCATCTTGCTGAGGCAGCCTGTTCCCCAGGAGGTCTACATTACACTCTCTGGCAGGTATTCCTCCACACCATTCCAAAAACCCCCAGCTGACCTCAGGAAAAAATCACACAGCTTCTTTTCAGAGAAAATACAAGCCAAACAATCAAAATGAGAGAACAGTGAATTTCTCTTCATTTCATTGCAATTTGAATGTAAATGACCAAATTGTCTAATAGATTAAAGCCTTCATGTTTGCATGCTTATCACTATTGATTTCATTATTATCATTAGTATAATGCTTATAGATTTATGCCAGAACATATGAAAAAAAGCATAAGATTAAGTATGTATCTCCTCTATAATTTTTTAAGAAAAAAATCTTGCAATTAAAAAAAATCAAATTCATCAACAAAAAAAAGTTGCCTCTTGTAACTTAAGCTTACACAATAAATTGAACACTAAACTGGGATTATTTGCAACAGCACTATACTAATACAATTAAGTTCACAGTTCCCATTTTTCTGTGTCTGGTCAATCCATCAACGTGGACATCTGGAAGTGAGAGGATGAAGGGGAAGGAGAGAGGAGAGAGAAGTCCTCCATGGGGTTTCGGTGACACAAGGGGAGGAAGCACTACTTGCCATTTGCTTACGAGCATTTTTGTTTCTCTTGCTTATTGTTTGTATTTATTTACATATGTGTGTACATGTACATATTGAGTATACCAGAATTTAAGTTCCTATATATGATCAACACATCCCACAAGGAATTTGAAGTAGGTGCCATTCACATTAAAGAATGCACGTAAGTTACTCCTACAAGCTGAGAAATTTCTAAACACATCAAAAAAAGTGTTACAGAAGTTGCAAAAGGTGTGGTAACCAATGGGTGGACAGTAAGCATCATAGTAGCTCAGCGAAGAGAGCTTATTTCTAGCCACAGTAGTCTAGAAAGCTTAACAAAGAGAAGGGATCTGCAAGGGCCCTGATGTGCTGTTAAGGGAGGTAAAGAAACGTGTGAAAAGAAGACAAAAGATAAATATTTGGAAGACTGGGAAAAAAAAAGCACTTGATTCAAACACTTCAGTGCAGTCACCACTATTTTCACTACATCTAATACTGCTCTGCTCCCAAACTACCATTGTGATGATGGTGATGATGATGATGATGATGTACATTTGGGAACTGCAGTGGAACACATTCAAAGCAACAAATTAAAAAGTTAGTGTGATTGGAGCAAATGGTTTGTGAAAGGAGTACTAATAGCAAACAAGGTTATAAATAAAAATCAGATCCAAACTGTGGAGGCCTGGAAACCCATAATGATAGTGTTTAGCTTTTAACCTGTTCGTAACAGGAGTCATTAAAGGGTTTTAAGCTGTAACTGATGTAATGAAAGATGTTTCAGGCATGTTAAATTGGTAGTGACGTTAGGAGGAATAAAAGCAAGAAAAGGAGGCAACATCACATAAGTGAGGTGTGTTCATTCTAAGGCAAGACAAATAAAATTTTTATGCAATTCTCTATCTCAGTTTTGAAAAAGACAAATGGATGTTGACGAATTGAGGCAGAAAAGAAAGGATGGGGCATGGGGTCGGAAATGTGTGTGAGGTGTTTCTTTCAATCAAACCATTCACAGGTGGGGCCCTGATCAATTAATTAAACATTTGTTCTCAGCACATCCCATTGTGGCATTCTGAAATATCCAAGAGGAAAAAAAGATAAGCATAGGTCACTTGATTTCACGTGGAAGAAGTTTTTGATCCACAAAGTAAGGACACAAGGACTCCTCCCAGAAAGTGGCGGAGCAGCAGGAGTCAGACGCGGGCGGGACCCGCAGCCCGGGTGGCTGGTGTAGGCAGGTGCCCCGACCTGTGTGCTCTATGCATCAGGACTCCAAGTCCACACGCTTTGGAAGGAGCTAAACTTATCCTGAGATGCCAAAGGCCACTCGGCCAAGGTTTCCCTCACTTGGCTCCAACCCAGACAGCACAACCAGTCAGGGGCAAAGCTGGGATATTGCCTGAGGCCGATCAGACCAGGAAACGTTTTTTCATTCCATGATGTCAAGTGCTTCAAAGAGCCTCACGCTCACCCAGCTTTGCCTAACATCTCCCATTCTCCAAAATGACCAGCCAACACTCCCCCTCATATCCCAGCAATGACATCATCCCCACTTCCGACTATAGCCCTTCAGATATTAGAAAGAGATCAATTTATTTTTAATTAATTAGGAAAACTAATTGACTAGCCATTTGTACCATCATCTCATTGCATAAAAGACTTGAACCCACTTTCAGAGATATGTCTAAGAAAACGGGATAATAAATAAATACTTTGGCAACCTGAAGAAACGAAAAATGAAGGCAAGAAACAAGATGACAGGAATAAAGGTCATACGAAGACATATGCTATAATATCAGAGTGCATGTTGAAGATCGAGTGTGCAGGGTGCATTAGAAAAGCCATGGAAACAAGGGAAAATGTGAGGCTGCTTGGTAAGTCTATGCACCTGCCCTCCCTGTGGGTCCCTGTAAGAATTGAAAGTAAAACGTAAGTCAGTAAAATGCCTAGAATGGAAAGGGGTAAGTAGTTAAAGTAAACAGGAAAATAAAGCAGAGACTGCTACCACGTGGGGTCAGGGAGCCCCGCAGGAATAGCCCCGCCGAGATTCACAAGGCAAGTGATATGAAGCAGGATTTGAAGTTTTACCAAAATGTCCATGGCTACCTTATTCTAGTCCACAGACAGGGAATTTAAGGCAAAAAAATTTGCAAACTTCTAAGCCTCTTGGGAAACCAAAACAAAGAAGAAAATCATAAAATGGCAACAGTATTCCTCAAACTGGTATCTGCTTAATGCTGTTCTACTAGATCTTACTGGAAATGTCACACATACCCCCTCCCACACACACACTAAGAATGTTGGCAAGTGGATTAAAACAAAGTTAATGTTTGTTTCTTCTTAACAGTGGAACTACACACAGCCATCCATGTGCTGATGAACACACAAAGGGGACAGTAAGATGTGAAGAACGGAAAGCTTTTTCATGCATCAGTTACTGGCCTTGCTTAATAAAGTGTTCTGCAGAACATAGTTTGGAAAATAATGGCTTAAAAAATTAACGATGATCAAAGGAAAAAATAATGTTCAGGAAAAGCTTAGTTTTCCTCAAGTATCAAGAACTGGAAAATAGAGTAGACCTCCCTTCATCCATGGGGGTACATTGCAAGTTCTCAGTGAATGCCTGAAATCTTAGATAGTATGGAACTCTAGATATACTATGTTTTTTCAGTCTGATAGCAGAGATGGCTACTAAGTGACTAACAGGGGCAGGTAGCTTCTACGGCGTGGATATGCTGCACAAAGGGATGATTCCTGTTCCAGGAAGGATGCAGAGTATGACAGCAGGAGTTTCATCACAATATTCAGAACAGGCAATTTTAAAGTTTATGAATTGTTTATTTCTGGAATTTTTCATTTAATATTTTTGGACCGCAGTTGACCTCAGGAAACTGATAACGCAGAAATTGAAATGCAGATAAGAAAGGACTATTGTATTGATGCTGTGGGTCCCCGTGAAGGACACGCTGTGTATGTGGAGGACAGCACACACGACATCAGCCCTGCAACTAACGTCCTAATAGCATTTCTCTGACAACATCCTTTGACATGGGCACGTGCATAAAACCAAAGAAAACTTGTACAGGTAGTTTTTTTTTTTTTTTTAAAGGCCACAGCTATTGTCTGATTATCTAAATATGTCGTTTTCTGGTGGTCTGATTTGATCCAAAAGTAAAAATTAGAAAAAGAAGAATAGATTATCAAATATATTTTGAGTCATCTCTAAGAAATGTTCTGGCTTTGTATCTAGGTGGAGTTCTTCCTACAGCTAAGAGTTAAAGCTCCTTGGAAAGAACTTGCAAATAACGTACACTACCAATTAAAGAAAGATTGATTGATTTTGTGCATAAACAAAGGACTAGGATTTTAATGCTTTACTGAAAGTTAAGGATTTATGCTTGAATAGAAAGCTCTGCAACTTATCCAAGTGGCAGATGGAGGGAAGGTTGGCAGAAAGGGTCAAGTTTTCTCAGCGAACAGTACCAGGTCTACTCAAACGAAAGGTCTCAAAGGTCTGCACTATAGAGCTTATAAATAAGTATTTTATCCTAGAGAATTTTTAAAGCAGGTGTTGCAAATTACCCACTTAAACCATTTAAAACTTTTTCAATATTGCACTCAAAGGACACATAATTTTAACGAAGGTAACTTCTTAGTGTACCTCCAAGATAAATGGGATAAAAAATGTAATCCCAAGGAACTAAGTGAGTTAACCTGCTATATAGGATTTTAGCAAAGAGCCAATTATATTTGGAGAATGTCTGCCAAAAAATAATGATTACATTTTCAGAGGAACTGATCTTAAGCCATTCTTACTGATACAACTTCGAGAGCAGGACCACATGCCTACTGACGCACGTCCAGGTTTTTACAGGAAAGCCCTGTCATCGGCCCCAAGACAACCTCCCTTTGTTTGCTCACATCAATAATGCACCCAGCATCCGAAGCAATGTCATGTCTTCCTTTTTGATCTTATCGAGGAAATAAGATTTCAAAAAAAGGCCAAATATGGTTCTGTTTGCTCCCCCTTTAAAATTGTTCTTATCAAAAGAGTATTTTCACGCAGCTAGACACTTGTGGAGGTTTCTACATGAGCCTAAATAACAGACCAGGTCCCACAGTGGCATCTGTAACATGTTCTTACAGCCCAATCACTCCTCCCTGGGCACAAAGACTTTTCTGCCACCTTCAAAGATCAGTCCTATCTGTCTACATCATCCTCATGCTCTGTATGTTGTCTGGAATAGGTTCTGGGGTCTCCACTTCCCAGGAGGGCTAAGAAGTTGGAGCCAAAACCCAGAATTGCTGTCCGCACAGGTTCCCTGCCCACCTGTGCAGAGCACAGCATGAAAGCGTGTCCATGTCTCCCATCGTCCCGTGAGGGGCAGAAGCATCGATTGCTTCTGAGTGAGCACTGCCAAGCCTGCTGCACCTGTTAGAACCTTTAGGTCTCACACTCATTCAGAAACTCCATTGTTATTATATCAGGAATCAAAAGGTGGCCAAAAGATAGCCAAAAAAAATCTATTTTTTTTAACAAATTAATAAAATTCTGTAGCCAAAGACAGCAGACAACGTTATCGGCATTTCGAAATGGTATTTTGCAAGTTTATAATCTGAAATATACCCTGAGGCTTTTCTTGGCTAAGGTCCAAAATAAACTGTGCCCCTAATGTCATGGCATTTACACTTTCTAGTCTTCTCTTTATAGAATTTTTAGATTTTACTACAAAAGATGAAATTAATGTATAGGAAATAATTTGACTGACAATTCAACATATAATGATACATTCCAAGTACAATAAATTAATCATCACCGTAATATAAATGTCTCGCTACCATTCTCTTTCCTTTGCCTTATCACTCCTCTTATAGTAAAACCCTGTAAATATTATTCTCAGAGAAACAGGATATAAGTTCTTAATATTTTTTTCAAAGATGGGAAGAAAAGAGTACGAAGGAGCCAACAGCTGGTCCAAGCTTATACCCTACGTAGAGCTCCTAGAAACAGAAATGGTGCCTGGCAGTGAAAACCAGAGCTGGACAGGAGTCAAAATGTGAAAAACAGATTTTATTCAGGACCTATCGCAACAGGGGAAAGAGACCTCAGTGTAGAACCAGGTTCAATTCCAAGTATATCATGGATAAGTGGGAATTTATAGCCAAGAAGCAAAGTTAGTGTCTGTGGGTAAAAAATTACTGAGAAGAAACATCAGGGCTAAAAGGGATTCTGGCTAAATTGACTTGACAAGATTCTTGCTGAAGGCAGACCTGGGTGGTGAGATACCAAGGTTTGGGGGATGAGGAATTTGATTTAAAAATCACATTCAGATCTTTGAAAGTCTGCTCTCCAGGTCGCTACTTTTAAATTATGAATGCAGTTGAGCAGTTGGCAATGCAGCCCGCCAAAGCTGAGTTAAATAGCTAGGAAGACTCTAAAGATAAGCATTCTTTCCTTTTATTGAATGTTGTCAATAATAATTCTTCTAAAAAGTGAGCCTGCAAAAGCCAATGTGATTGCACATTGTTTCCTGGTCGGTGCAGTCGATTTGCATCTTCCCTGTGGCCTGAAGATGAGTGGCCATGAGCGGTGACCGCTTTTGACTGGGTTCTGAGAGGCCACACCGTTTCTAAATACCACATAATGGAAAACTCCACTGCAAAAGAAACTCACAAGTCAACCTAAAACAGGAAAAATAATATTAAAAGGACAGAGAAGAGACAATGTCAGTAATTTCATTTTTATGTAACACTTATCTCTATAGCATGAAAAGGAAATTGTCTTAGTATTGCCTGGAAAACTTAGAAGAATAAAAGGCACACATGCTACGCAAGAGCTAGTCCCACTAAGAGCATTCAGAATAGGGGCTGTTAATCTTAATGGCATCTGTTCTTTTCAAGGTCTGCATTATTTTGACTTTGGGTAGAAGAGGTAAAAAATAATAATAAAATAAGAAGGAGACTGCCTATTTAAATATAAAATAAAATAATGCAATCATAGTGCATTTCTTTCCTTCCTGGGACCTCAGTCACTTCAAATATAGCCATCAAAAAAGGATAAAATTTTGGTGCAGGAAGAAGAGTCATTTGTAAAGAAAGATCCAGATGTGGCTCACAGGATAGAATTCTACATTAGTTTTTCCATGCAAAAAACACAAGTTATGTTGCAATGACTATTAATGGCAAGGCAATGAAAAGAGTCTCACTAGATATCTCTTAACGGGTCTAATTTTACCCTCAATTTTTCTTTTTCTAAATATGAAACTTAAATTTTCTTCTCTTCTTCCTGTAAAGACTCTTGGTCATACATCAATGGTTTCCAGTCAATATTTTTGTCTCCTTAATCTCAAATTCACCTAGCTTTAAATTGATTCTCAAACTTTTTTTTACCATCAAATAAATGAGTTTTAAACTCTTTTCTTTTTCTGGCCAGTTAACTTTTTTTTGCTCCCAAATAGTTGCTACTACAATAGCCCTTCTTACCTACTATTCTGCCATCATAAATTTCCAGGATTATTTTCTAACAGTTGAAATACAACACATATTGCTTCCCCCAAATAATTCACAACTGATTTTCAGAGGCAAGTCATATGCCATGGTACACAGTAAATGACAACATAAACCAGGAAGTTACACATTTACCAACGGCCGTGTTTACTGTGTAGCTGAGGTAATCAAGGAAGTCTATTTTTAGAAGAGGTAACACTTAATTGCATTCTAAATTCAAGGGAAGACTAAAGAGGAAGACATTCTATATGAAATAAAAGAGAAATGATGACTATGAGGACGAGAAGCAGAGATAACATGCATGTGTTATTTTTTAGAAGACAGTGTGTAAGCCAATTTGGCTACAGGGAAAGGTTTTCTAAATTTCTTTAATCACTGAGGTTTACTGACCCTCTTCCTAGAATGTTCAGGACTAGAAATCACTTCTTTTTAGTGATTTAATTACACTCACTTAAGGAAATTTATTAGACCCAAAGAAAATGTTCATCATGTCTCAACAGTATTTCTGTATCTCAGAATCATCAAAATCCAGGTGAGAGGTACAGTGTAGACGTCATTCACTGCGAGTCTGGCCCCGTCCATCAGTACCAACGAAGAGAAGCAAATCGGGACAGAGATACGTCACTACTGTCTCTAGGGTCGGTGGGATTATGGACTAATGAATAACAACAACTCCCTTATACAGTGTCCTACACTGTTATACAGCGATTTCATATACTTGCTTCATTCTCACAATGACCCTAATTTAAGTGTCATATTTCGATCTAGGTAAGGCCCAAATTAGTATCTCCGTTAGTGAAAAAACTCAAGGTTAAGTGACTTACCGTTGGTCACCCTGCTATCAATGGCAGAGGCGAGATTTTTAAACCTGGCCTTTGGACGCCACAAGTGCTCTGCCACCAATTCCACTATGACCAGGAAAGCCCCTAGAACTGTTTGGCACTAGCCGATGAAGTCACAATTGTTCCTTTCTTCGGATTCTTCCCTAACTGATGTCACCCATGGCTCTGATGCAGAGCTGAGTTAGTGAATCATCCTAATCAACTGTGCAACCAATTAAGCAAAAATATCAGAACACCGTGCCTGTTGCATGCTCTGTGCTGTCACAGTGCACTGCTGCCTGGCCAAGCACGTGGCTCGTTCATAACATTAGTCACAAGAGGCTGGATCACCATAATTCCTCACCATTGCAGGGAGATGTGAGTTTCCCTGACTTGTAATCAGTAAAGTTTTTGTATAAACACCTGAAGATGTAAACTTAAGTACACTTGTGCCCAGCAACCTGTCCAATTACAATCTTGTCCACATTTTGTTGCATATTTATTCCATTAATTGTCCGATATGCTACAGCTCACAGAAATAGTGGTTAGGGAACCCTCAAGTCACTGCTAAATTTGCAAAACGATTCAACAACGTTGGGTTTCCGGAAGATTTCCCCAGCACACATTATATCTCCTCTTGTCTGAATATTTACCTTGTGGTCCACACAGCAAGGTCAACTCTCCACCTAAAATGAGAGGTCGGAAACGCACCCCAGCCCCCTCAGCTCTGTAGCTCCCCACTGAGCCGTACTTCCAGAGGACCTGCTGGAAACCCAACAGCCGGGGCAAGTTGGGGTGTTTCCCCTTGAAAAATCTATACAACAATGTAAGAGTGAGAGAGAGAGAATAGTGGTCTCATAATTAAGGTTTGCAAGGTTTCTTAACTTTTGAAAAGACTAATAGCATAGTAGAGCCTGATTTTCAAAGGGGATCATTAATTTTCCTTAATTTTAAACTAAATCTCAAAGTATATTTTATTCATACTCAGAAAAGGATAAATGGAAGATCAAAAAGCAATAATGCAGACCTCACCAGTGCCCGGCCCCCGAGGGAACCACTGCACTGCATTTTTTGTGTTAGCCGACCTTTTCTTTTTAGTATTCATGAGAACTTAGCAAATAATCACACTGAACTGGTTTCAGGGACATACATCTTTTGCTTCCTGCCTGCAACGGGAAGCACAAGCATGGTTATCTGACACGGGGATGCCCTTTCGTTCTGTCTTTAGTAAAAGCAACTGTACAGAACAAGTAATGAGCAGCCCGATGAAATCCCCGTCCCAAAGTCTGCACTCGCCCTGCTCTGCAATTCGTCTTCCTCCATCTACACAGAGCTCCCGTTCTCCTTCAAAGCAAGCTCTGGGGCTACGGAGACAATTCAGGTGCAATGAACAGAAACCACTTCACTTGTTAGCCAAGAGGATATTTAAGGTGCTGAAAAATGAAAAGTTAATACAATGTACTATTCAGTCTCAGTAAATCACCTTTAAGTGTAACATCTTAAAGGTCCTATCAGCCACCATGCCCTGCGTTGATGCCATGTTTATGCTTTTAGCGTTTCTGAGTTTCGTGATGACTTGCTGAATGGGAAAAACAATACATTACAATGCAAGATGGAATCGCAGCTATTTATTTTCACTTTATAAGACAGACAGCTAAGAGATAACTTGTTCAAAGGAAGGCAAAAGGCAATCAAATGTCATGGGCTCAAGATAAGCCAGCTGGCGCTATCAGCCACGCCAGGCAGGCTACCAATTTATAATTCAAATGTTGGAATGTTTATCGTTAGAATGTTCAACTTCCTGAAGCAAACATGGACTATTTTGCTAGTTACAGGAGCCAAAATGATACTATATTCCACTTAGGGGTCACAAAAAGATAAAAGGCCAACCAACCCATCTTACACAAACTCTCTGTCCACAAAGGGATTCACAGTGGGGTAGCTGCTTGCAAGTCAACGTGACGTGCTGTAATTTGAGGCAGAGTATGAGATCTAGTTTACTCTCACAGCCAAGAGACCTGGGATTCCTTTGACTAAAATCAGTCTTTTAAAGTATAATTCTCTACAATGCCTTTTCTAAATGGGAATATGTGTGTGACTTGGTACGATTCATGCTGGACCACGTTAAAAGGTACTGACTCTCTCCCACTCAGCAAGGTAGGAGATGGCCAGGTAAATATTTACAGGAGACAACTTGTTTGTAAATTTTCAGAGTTCAGGAGGCTGAAGTGCAGAGCACCAGGTGAACGGTTACGGCTGGGTCCTTGTACAGCCAGAGAAAATCGGGAGGATATATAGTTCTTGGAGCAAGGAGACACTGAGTAGACAATTAAAAATTAGAAAGGCTTTCATTCTTGGCATACTTTTGAGTTTTGTCCCACTCTATAATAATTATAAAATTCAAATTGCCACAGGACTGGTGAACTGCAAGATTAAGAGAGAACCACCATGCACAGTAAAAAGACTAACCCCAGGTGGGAAATAAGACGACCAAAGAAAAACAGCACGTCAGGCAGTTTGGAAATAAAATTCAGGAAATTCAATATTCACTGTTAATTTTCCCATGAATCCCTTCATATTGTTTTCTTTTTTGTCTCTAGCCAGCTGTGCTTTTTAATAGGATAATTATTTGCTATTCAGATGTATTCCAATTATTTCTTAAAAAAAAAAAAAAACTTCCATAGGATTATCAAGTTTGTCCATTTGAGAAAATTTCTCTCCCCTTTTTATTGCCTCGTACGGCATCCACAATGTGATTTTGATTATGTAGAACTACATTATTCATTGTTATTAATGACAATCACTTTAACGAGTAAAAACGTAGATTGTTCATAGCTTTAATTCACCTAGAGACAATGAGAGCTAAATAAACTTGGCGTGAATCGGAAGTTGGATATCATGGGTACGGCCGCAGGATGAGCAGTTTGCAGGTGTGGACACAGGATGAAGGATTCACATCCGAATGCTCTGGTCAGTCCCAACGAGGTGCAGCACAAACGGCTTCCACTGACAATGAGTTTATTAACTTCCAACAAGGCCTCCAGCTGCTCATTAGCTGTGAAAACTCTGGAGAGGAACACAAAGAGCTGCTTTTCTTATCACTTTAAAGAAGCAAAAATACGGCTTTCAGTGTGATGCATCCTGGAGACACTGATTTATTCAAAAGATCTTTTTAACGTAAGCTCCTTGTGTTTTGGGGACACAGCACTCTGAGGTGTGTGTTGTTTTTGTTTTAATGGCAAAATCCTCCATTCGTGTGCCTGGGCCTATTCTCTCTGCAAGCACAATCGATGGGTAAAGATAGTTTGGTGACTTTTCTCTACTTCCAAAATTTAACCAGTGCCACCATATTCACTTCTCATCATTCTGTTAACGAGATGACTTATACATGTGTAAAAGTGACCTTCCTAGCTTGATTCCTGTTGACGTCTTCTATGAGAAAAGCACCAAAACCCTAACGTAAACAGCGTGACAATACTACATTGATTACAACATGCTTACCTACTTCATTAGTCATTGCATTCTCTAGATGAATCATACATTTTCTATTTTTAAAAGTGCCATGGAAAAGTCAGATTAAACCGTAAATGCTCCTTTAGTGCTTACCTGGAGAGAAGTGAAAGCAACTTCACCACCACAACGGTGGTGAACTAAGGAAATGACCTACTTTTCCCCAAATCGATTGGTGTTTTTCCAATCCTCTCTCCTTGAGATTTGTTGGTGCATCAAACTGTTTACCACCCTCTCCTTCCCTTGGCTTATGTGTAACACACTTAGTCTTCCTGCTTCTGAAACACAGTTGCTTCTTCCTCCGCACTTACACACTGACCTTACTCCAACATCCCAGCCTCTACCTGTGCATATTCCCCCAACCCAATCATCAATCCAACACTCTTTTCTTATATCTTTAAGAAAATCCATCCTTGATTTAGTCTCTATTACCACCTCTGTGTATTTGAAAATCAAATCTTTCCTGACAACTCATCCTTCACTCAATTCTAGGACTGTATCTTTATCATTCTATCATGCAGATTTTCTAGAAAAAAAGAATGGGGTTGTCATTTTTAACAGAACTGCATATCCAAATGATTAGCAGATTCCCACATGTGTTATTTTGCTATGGCCCTCCAGGAAAACAGTAACAACTAGAAAATTAGGCAAAATCGAAGCAATGAAATACTAGTTTCACAAGGGATTAGACTGTATTTTTCTTAGCATTCACTATATCTGTTTTTAAATCAAAATCTCTAAGGTTCATAGGTGGCAGAAATATTCCAGTTTCTATGAATTTTTACTCATGGACTATATGCCCTGACATTTCATGTCTCCTCTTCCTGACCTTGAAATCAAGAATTCAGTCTCAAAATACAGTCTTTTATAGGGAACACTGAGCACAGAGGGTGCCTTAACAAGAAAATGTTCTGATTCTATCATAAATTAAAGGCAGCGCTTCAGACAATAGAGCGTAAACCACTGCCACTCTATTCCTGAGAGGGAACAAACGATCCTTCCTATAAAACCTGTCTTTCTATCACCAGAAACTAGAAGTTCAAGAAATAACCAGTGCAAGAATGTGGAAGTTTAATGTGCTGATGTACTAAGAGATCCCGGGTGGGTCTGAACGGATGTTTTTTTCTTCACAGTGTTCTCCGACCTCTCCACTCTTAAACTGAGAAAGTCTCTCAATGTGCACATTTATCATAAATGTTTCCTTCTAATTGACATTGAATCAGCAAACATTTACTAAGTAGGTGCTAAAGACCCAGAAATAAATATACCAGAACCCCCCAAGTCAAGACTCTAAAGGAAATGTCCC